CTCCGTGTGCCAGGACAAACTTGTGTCTGAAGTCGAGTCTTTCCTGAACAGAGTCTCGGATTGGGGGCGACTAAATCTAGTCCAGTTTAACCCCCAGAAGACACAAGTTTGAGCGTTAACCGCTAAAAAGAACCCTTTTGTCGTATCTCCTCAGTTTCAAGACACTCCCCTTGTTGCCTCAGCCAGTATCGGAATCCTCGGCGTCGACATATCAAGTGACGTGCAGTTTCGTGATCACTTGGAAGAGAAGGCCAAATTGGCCTCTAAAAAGCTTGGCGTGCTCAGAAGAGCGGGACAGTATTTCATGCCGGCACAACGCCTGCAAATTTACAAGGCGCAGGTTCGGCCGCACATAGAATACTGTTCCCATCTCTGGGGTGGGACTCGCCAGTACCAGCTCCTTCCACTTGACCGCATCCAGCGCAGAGCGGCTCGAATCGTCGACGACCGAGTGCTTTCCGATCGGCTCGATTCACTGGCACTGCGAAGAGATGTTGCATCTCTTTGCATTTTCTTTCGCATATACCATGGAGAGTGCTCTGAGGAATTGTTCGGATTAATCTCAGCCGCCAAATGTCGTGAACGCACTACGCGGCAAACGTCCCGATACCATTCACACCATCTGGATGCTTGGCGGTCCACCACTGTACGTTTCAAGAGGAGTTTTCTTCGTACAACCTCTCTGTGGAATAGTTTACCACCAGCGATTTTTCCGGACCGATACGACCTGGGGACCTTCAAGAAAAGAGCGTACTCCTTTCTAAAGGGCCGGCAACGCACCTGCAATTCCCCTGGTGTTGCGGTTGATCATGGGCGGCGGTAGTCACTTAACATCAGGTGAGCCGCATACTCGTTTGCCCCCTCTTCTATAAAAAAAATGTAATCTTTACAAAATGACTTATTTCTGGACTGAGGTGACATGTTAGTGAAAAAGGATATAATCGCTGTTCTTTTTTTTTTAAAGGTAAAATATTGTACGTAATAACCATTACAGTTTCGCTTAGGAAAAACAAGCTAAAGCAAATTAAACAAATAAAACTTTGTACTGAGTTATTTTCTATTTATATCGCAGTCATCAGTGCAGCCTTTATTGTATTCTCATTTGAGGTGTCACACAGCGATAATCCTTTTTAATACACATACTACTGGTAGTATTTACTCTGACTCGTCGGCGGAAAAGATACACTGTGGGTTTCTAGTAAATAAAACAAATGAGCGCCCTTTATATATATATAATATATATATATATATATATATATATATATATATATATATATATATATATCACTAGACGAACGAGCAGAGATATATAAACATGGGGTTTGAGTTCAGTTTTTTTTTTGTCAAGAAATTCTGTCAGGAAATTAGCATTGTTTCATTCCCGTGCCTCGGAAAGTAAGTAAAGCCTTTGGTCCTGCACTTTTACTCGCTCCGGTCGTGTCGGTTTGCCGTTCCATCGGAGTATGAAAGTGAAGGAATAGAAAGTACACCTGTGCTTGCGCATACACTCGGGAACTATAATCATGTCCTGTGCGGATGCCTAATATCCTTTACGACTGGCGAAATTTCGGTCTGGATGACATTATTATTAGTATTCATTTTTAACCACTGTTTGTTGTAGGTTTTTTCAAGTGATTAGATTGAGTTTTGAAATATTGCCCATATTTATTCCACGAAGTAGTCACGAGGATGCCTCATCGATACCCTTACACTAGTGAACTTGCTCTAAAGTATCAGTCAGTCTTTTTCATTTATTATGATGAACATGTATGAAATTAATGACGAATAGATACATCGCCATAGCCCAATACAATAAATGCCAGGGTGGTGCACTCAGGTGCAGATGAGGTTGACACCAATTTATATCTAATTTCAAAACCAGACTGGTATAAATCACACGTAAATGCCAGAAAATAAAACATAATATTTGTTATATCCACTGCGATATTAAACATTAAGCCAACGATGCATCTGAAAGTGCTTTGTTCTTTTGTTTCATCTGCCTGTCACTTGAGCACACCTGTTATTTATAACTTTCACAGGTGACTCATATACAGAAGATTTAATAAAATAAAGATTTGGTTTAATTTTAAAGTGGGTAGCGGAAATTTCAAGATAAAATATTGTATAGCAGAGAAATATTTTTTAATAAAAGTAGTTGAGACTGATAAACGGGCTCACAATTCACTTTATGGTAAGTGGACGTTATAGTATAGACACCTACATCTATCTTCGATGAATGATTATGTATAATAAATGCAGGTACAATGTCAAATCTAACGACTAATAAATAATGCCTCACTTTACCAAAACAGCACGCAACAGCTTTTTGCTAATATCTTTTACCGCTGTACCGATGCAGCTAATATAGAGCTGCGGTATTTTCTTCCGCGTTTAAACAATACCGTATTGTTTTATAATTTTTTCTAATTACTTTTAAAATGTCACAAAATGAAAACAACTCGATGACAGAAAAAATTCTTATATCGTTGATAGTTATATTATTTTACTTCTTGTCCGACGTTCCTTTTCATTTACTAAAAGTAGCTGTTTGAAATTACTTCATAATCTTGTCACTTAGTCCAACTCTTGCACGGGCTTTGTGTTAGAAATATTTAGAATGAGTTATGAAGTGTGGCTGAAAACTTTATCGCTTTTATTCTGCTTAGTTGAATTGACTTTTAATAACAATTTTCATTAAAACCGTTCTCCCCTTATTTTCAATTAATTTTATATAACTAAAATATTTTGTTAATTTTAGAGAGATTTTTTCTTCACAAAACCTAAATCTATACAATGGAATTTTATAATCCAAAATTTATTACAACCGTTTCTCTTCATAGCTGTGGTTAAATTTGATGATATAACTCATCATCACATTATTATCAATACAAACTATCAAATTCCACTCTTGTACGTAAACTTTTCACATAGTTAGCCTCATATAGGAGATATTTGCCAAAGTTCATTAGTTCACTTCCAATTTCAGTTTTCATCTGTCGTCTCTTACGACAAGTGAAAAGAGGTAGTGTATTTTTTATGTAAAAGAGTAACAAAAGAGTACACAGTCCACCTGATAGTAAGTGAAGGCTGTAACCCGTACACATCCACATTTACTCTTGATCCCCTGACTCTTATCCTCAACACATAAAACGCAGCATCTATAAGTTGCTTTTTCACATTGGGTGCGTTTGGCAGAAAAAAGCGCTAGCAAGCGCTTGTAAGCAAAATGGCGATCGTAAGCGGTAAGGGCTGTCAAATTGTAAGTAGCTATTTTCCTCTAGAACACGAAGTTGGTTTTAACCGGGGAACCTAACCTAATTTAAATATATGTTTGTAAAGTATTCATATTAAAAACTTACCAATCATGAATTTTTAATAACGTGTATATGTTTATTCATGTCATTATATTAGGTACTTAACCCTTAACACCACACGTGGGGGAGTAAGCTCCCCCACCGCTCACAATTTAGAAAATATTTTAAATGTTTGAAACGTAACGCGGTTGAGTGTTCGTGTATTCCCAGTGCCGCCCGAGGTCTCGCGGGGATTGGACGCGCGACTGGCTATTGTGCTTAGTTCGAGAGGTACGAGTCGATGGAGGAGCCTAGTCCCCCACGAGTGTAATTACGTTAGTTTTTTTGTTGTTTCATTTACTTATTTATTTATTTATTTTTAGGTTTGTGGCGCAATATGGATAAAAATTTGAATCCCAAGATCTGTTGAATGACTTAGACTCTGACGAAAACGGATTTGAGTGACGTTCACAGTGATCACAATACTGAAAGTGAAGAAGAAGCGGAAAATATCTCTGAAAACGAAGACTCAAGTGACAACGATGAACAAAGCCGAAACAGCAATTCTTTTTATGACAGAAACAGGTACAAATGGTCGAAAGTACCACCATCGCGATCACGAGTGCCAGCAAATAACATTATTATTCATTTACCTGGTCTAAGAGGTCCTGCACAAGTCAAAAATAAAATATCTCCATTGGAAGCATGGTCATGTCTATTTACTGAAGATATGATTGAATTGATTTTACAACATACTAATGAAAAAATCACAAATTATTCAGAAAACTATACATCTGACTCAGCCTATACTTACCATGTCACAAGAGAGGAAATTTTGGCATTTATTGGGTTGATGTTTTTGACAGGCATATTCAAATCTGCGAGAGAAGATGCTCGGGGCATATGGTCAGCCAAAACAAGGGGTAGACCTATTTTCAGAACAGTTATGAGTCTAAATAGATTTTTGTTTATCTTATCATGCCTACGATTTGACGAACACCTTACACGAGAAGAACGAAAAAAGACAGACAGACTTGCTCTAATATCAGAATTGTTTAACAAGTTCATAAAAAATTGTATCACAAACTACAGCTGCTCTGAGTACGTTACTGTTGATGAAATGCTCGTTCCTTTCAGAGGTCGATGTATTTTCCGTACGTACATGAAATCAAAACCAGCGAAGTATGGGCTGAAAATAATGTGTTTATGTGATGCAAAAACACATTACTTGTACAATGCCTTTATTTATTCAGGAAAAGAGCAAACTTCTCGAGCTAATACATTGTTGATACCAACAAGGAACGTTTTGACACTGACTGAACCAATTTACCAAACTAACAGAAATGTAACTGGTGATAATTGGTTTTCATCGATTGAGTTGGTTGATACTTTGAAACAGAAAGGCCTAACTTATGTAGGCACTATTCGTAAGAATAAAAGAGAAATTCCTTTGCAGTTTCTTCCTCGTAGGAGCAGGCCAGCTCTCTCGTCAATCTATGGCTTTCAAAAAGATAAAACACTTGTGTCTTTTGTACCGAAAAAGAACAATAGTATTGCGCTCATATCCTCCATGCATCATGAAGCTGTAACGAATCCTGAAACTAAGAAACCAGAGATCATTGAATTTTACAATTCTACAAAAGGTGGCGTGGATGCTCTTGACCAGAAGTGTGCTGCTTACAGTGTCAACAGGAGAAGTCAAAGATGGCCAACTACAATATTCTGTTCGATGTTGAATATATCAGGATAAACAGTCATGTTCTATATTGCGCCTCAAACCCTCAAAAGCGTATAAGCCGTTACAAGTTTTTAGAAGAACTTGGATACGCTTTAGTAACTCCACATGTTATGAATAGAAGATCTATGACAAATCTTTCAAAAGAGCTAAAAGATATGATTGACAAGTTTCTCCGTGAGGTTGGTGTTGAGCTACCTGACGATCAACCTGCACAAGGACCGAGCCAAAATAAGAGACCAAAGAAATCGCGCTGTCATTTGTGCCCACGACTCAAAGACAGTAACACCCCAAGAGTGTGCTCAAAATGTATGAAGAATGTGTGCCGTAATCATTCTGTAGACGTAAAAGTATGTGCTAAATGTCAGGAAAAGTATTAATTGGGCTAAAATACATTATTTTGATTAAAAATATAATTTTGGGGGACCACGCTCCCCCACGTGTGTAGATGCGTGGTCAGAAATAGCGTGTGGTGCTAAGGGTTAAAACTAATACTGCACGAAACAATTTATAAACTCGACTTCAAAACAAATTAAATAAGCAAAATGGCGTATTTTGTCGGCGCTACTGAAGTTAGCAAACGTGTCCTGGCCGAAAACTCTTTAATTTCGCCATTTTGCTTATAAGCGCTTGCTAGCGTTTTTTTCTGCCAAACGCACCCATTGATATTTTGTGAGACCGTGGTCTAGTCCGGATTGCGTCGACCCATTTGTGCTACAACCATAATACAGCTTTAGTGTTGCTTTACCACGTGCATTCTTTTACACCGCTACCACACAGCAAATTAAAAATTTATATATGTATATGAGTTTACTATAAATATATGTATGAACAAAGATGATAGAATGCCATAATTCTTCATAGAAAAGTAGTCTCCATAAAATAAGTTTTTATGGGTTAAAATGCTGTATGGGTAAAATGGCGTACGAAATAAACGTAGATTATAAATTAATATTCACTGGATAACGTTTTTTTTTATTACATTAGAGGATAGAGTATTTCATATTGATTATATAATGCCAAATTTCTTCATAGAAAAGTAGTCTCCATATATAAGTTTTTATGGGTTAAAATGCTGTCGGTGGGTGCGACCTCAAGAGACCGCTGGGGATTTGACGGAATATGGCCGCGGTCTCATGAGACCGCAAGGGGGTTGAGAGGATATGATTGTTATATCCTTATGTTATCAAGACTCCCAGAAAACTTTGTGATATTGGATTCCACTCTTCTACTAATGCAGTTTTAAAATCTTTGATGTTAGATGTTAGTTAGTACCCTGTCCAAAAATACAGTTTTTAAACCATTCTATACTATTCCAAAAATATCACTATATTGTGAGGCCGACCATTATCACTCATTAAAATAAAATCATTCTGTTTGGGGTAAATGGCATCACTATCAGTTTCAAATGTTTTCCTGTTCTAAATTGCCGCAGCTAGAGACCCGTTTTCCACAATGTGTAACTTCTTACGTGCCTTCTACATATGCTTTCTCAAACTTTACTGACCCTCTATCGTAAAGCTCTCTATTAACAATGTTACACTTCGTATTGTACTTCAGCTTTAAGCATCATCATTCCTGTTTCAGTGTAGGCGATAAAAAGCAGACCGAGCTGCGTGATGACCTGTGGTAAGTGAAGGTCCTCTGGTAGTAAGGCATGCCGCTGTTCCAGCCACTTATGTTATGTTATTGAGGTTTTTGTTGTAAGTATCACCCGTTTGAACTTCCTGAAGCTTAGTGATTTCCTTAAAAAGGGTTAAACGATGATTTCTTAGCAAGCTGTTTACAATTATTTCGTCCCTTACCGCTATAACTTTGGTACTTTTTATTTTCCATCCCGCATATTCTCCAGTTTGCTAAAAAAGTATAGACTTAGAAACTCGCAATGTTTGCGCCAACTAATTTTAAGTGTAAACATTTTAATTATAGTTACAATTTTTGATACTTGAGCTACGCTAAGATCCGGCATTATGTCTTAAATTGGTCCAGTAATCAATCGTAATGTAATAGTAATAATAGTTGAAAAAAAACTAAAGACTATGCTGGATATGGTATAATACTGCAAAGTATGCAAACTTCCTTACAATTGTCATGGATTAAATTAAAATTTTACCGAAACAAACCAATGATACGCTGAAAGAAGCGTACCCACGTTAAAATTCTTTTCTGATTTTTTTTCAAATAACTAATTCTAACGTTCTAACAAATATGGCCCGTGCGTAATGGGAACATGCGTGTGTTTTAATATCTTTTTAAAACGTAATGGGCAAAGATTGATTAACTTACACAATTCGCAAGTAATGGCGAGAGCCATTAGAGAACCACGTCAAATTTTCTGAGATCCAATACTTCGTAATATTTAAAAAATACGAAGAAAAGCAATTAATATTTTAAAACCACGGTTGTAAAATATATAGTTTCTATAAATATTAATAGTTATGATAAGTAAATAATATGCCCTCAAGGGCTATTTCCACCATAGTGCCAAATAATATCTATCAAAAGCTGAAGACAGCGTAGTGGATTTTTTACGTTGAAAATATCATAAAATCAGAGGTAAGCTAAGACATGTTCTAGAAATATGAGGACAGTTACAACAAAACTTTACCTGCAGTAAAGAAACCAAAACGTGTGCACTCATAAGTAAAAGGGTTTTTTAATTTGTTCTAAAACGACTTGTGTATTCAAGTACTTTGATATTGTAGATAAAATAGCACTAGACTTCTAGCTCTGATGGTATAACACAATTAGTAAGAATTGCTGAAGGTAGGGGAATTCGAAACAAGGCAAAACAAACAAAGAGGCCATCAGGCTGATTTCTTTTTTCTTCCAGAGGCGGCCCCGCAGGAACTAAACCTGGTCAAACCCCGACGGTTCGTCAAAAAACGAGATGATTTTATTATGACGGCTATACGGCAACTGTTCAATGATGTCTCAGTGGTTGCACGGTTGAAAGCTGTCAGAGACCAGATAGGGACCAGATCTATCCCCCTCGCAGCTCGAGTTACAAAATCGTTTTCAATGCCCAGGAGACTGCAGTAGAGACGATATGAATGACAAGCTCGTGGAAACTGTCCATGTGGTTCACTAAGTTTTTTTTATAAAATAAGGGTAACAAACGTACAAAGAGTCCACCTGATGGTAAGTGGATGCTGTGGTCGATAAACATCTACTATATACAATTAAGAATCAAAATGCAGATGCGTTGTTACATCTGAAGGCTTAAATGAAAATACTCGTTTCCATTAAAAATGGTTTCCGGTTCTCTGCACTCACCATACGAAACACAGCTGGTATTCTGTAAAAGCGTGGTCCTACCCCGGTCAAGCTGAACCATTTACGCAACAACGATAACATAGTTGCAGCGTTGCCCTACCACGTATTAAGTTCTATAAGGTCCAATGTCGCAGAAGAACACAGAAACTTTCCGAACATAATCTTATTCTCATAACTGTTAGATGAGAAATGAAGCTGCAGTCTTCAGCAGATTTGACAGCATACAGGCAACTGAACAGACAAATGCATGCGGTGGGATTTACGCAACTTCAGCAAAAAGAATGATGATCCGCAAGGCCTTTGTTAACTATGACTTCGGAGAGGCAAACGCCCTTAACCAAAGTTGGTGCTGTAAAGCACCCAAAACGTAGAAAAAAAAATAAGCACGATAAAATCAGTAAAATTGGTTTTATTCAATATCCTCTTTAGCTGAAGGTGTTCGTATGAACCAATCTTAAAAATGCGCTGAATCTAGAGTTTGAAATTGACATTTCTGCACTTTTACTATAACTAAATATATTTTAAAATAAAATCTGGAACCAGTGTCTCAAATTAAAAAAAAATATTAAGAAAAAATTATGTGTGACCAAGCGACAATCTTAACTTTGAATAAATTAGGTGTAAATTCAGTACAATTTTATTTTTCTATTTGAACCAACTGGACGGACTGAAAAAATAAAAATCGTTTTCAACCAAACCACCTGTGTGTTATGTTAGTGGATTTAAGTTTTTTTTCAATTCACTTTAGCACTAATGTTATTTCTATCAAAAATCAAAAGAATACAATTCTATAGAACGAAAGTAAAATAAAACATTGAAAAACGGACAATGAAAAATTCGTTAATATTTTTCTCTGTCTCTTGTACAATACTAAGTTATTTCAATATTAAGATGAACGAATGTGAAATTATTTTCGAAAATTAATTTCTTATTCGTTAAATTTATTAATGTCTGCTAATGTCATAGGCTTTTGTGATTGCGCAGTCTACCAGACTTCTTACTAAAGCTCTCCCATTAATTAGTAGACTGACACTAACAAATCTCGTAATTTCATTCGATTTCAACATTTTATTCCCTCATTTTATTGATCATTCTGAAAGCGGTCACATGGTATTGATAATTTTTTAAGCATTAAGGAATAATAGAATGTTCGTAATATCACTTTGCAATGGTATAACAATTTTGACTGGCCATCACTTACAGATTAGAACTGAGACTTTAGAATTATATTGACACTTAATTACTATTGTGCGCCAAAATACATAGAAATATTAAAAGGTCATTTTCAACAAGTAAGCGTTATTGACAACTTCTTTTTTTTTAGTTGTTCATGGCCCGATCGAATGGGGAAGGACCACGCTCGCACAAATTATTAATATAATGTTGGTGTATTGTGAAAAAATGGTTGATGATGTGATCCGTAGGTTATATTATTGTAAAGTAAATTAAATTTACAGCTTAGATGATGAGAGATGAGAAAAGTCTTGTGAAAAAGTGAGAAAATCTTGGGACATCCCCCTGCTGGGCCCAAGATTTTTAAGAGAGTTTTATTATCTATTTTTTGATAAAGAAACATTCCAACTTAGTCTTTATATATATATATATATATATATATATATATATATATATATATATATATATATATATATATATATATATATATATATATATATATAAAAGTAAGTAAAGTAAACTTACAGCCTATATACGTCCCACTGCTGGGCTCAGGCCTCCCCTCATTTCTGAAAGGGTTTAGGGCAAGGAAGTGTCCGCCGCGCTGCCCAAATGCCTGTTGACGAACTTTACATGTCTTCGAAATATTTTTTTTCTTATTCCTCAGACATGCTGGTTTCCTCACGATGTTTTCCTTCACCGCCGAGCACGTGGTAAATCAGCACTTAAAATTGCAATTAACAATTTCATTGGTGCCGGCGGGGATCGAACCCGGGTTACTCGCCTTCTGTTATATTTACAGCGAGCGTTAACCACTGAGCTACCACGGCTCTAGCATACTACAAACCATAGGTGGCTTTATTATAAAAATATTTATCCGAATTTAAAAACTTTTATCTCACTCACTCACTCAGTGAGATAAAAGACCTAC